TGTTTCTTTTCTTTTTTTTTTTTTTTTTTCTTAACAAAAATATCGGGTGAGTGAAGTCATAATTTCTTTTTTTTTTTTTTTTAATTACAAAATATCAGTGGCTATCGAAAAATCTCGATGAGAGACGATGACTCCGCGAAGCGTGAGATCGTATATTTTTGAGATTGTCGAAAATAAAAATAAAAAAAATTATATAAAAAGAATATCTCATTCGTTCGATTCCCTGTAGTTTTACGCGTTACGCAAGAGACCCGTCGAAAAGTGGCGTTTCCATGTAGGAGTTGAATAATGAATGTAACGTCGGCGACAAGTTGCTGGACCGGCAGTGACGTTCCACGCCAAAGAACCATCCCGGCGGACGAGGACGGGCCTGAAGAGTGCGGCGGGCCAGAGACACTGCCAGACTGAGAAGTCTGCATTGGCTGCGACCTCCGGATGAAATAATAATGAAAAATTAACAAGCTTCGGCTTTGACGTCGAGTTTAAACTTTCGTTATAACGAATGATGGATTATCAAGTGCGACAATATGCACGCGTCCGTGTAACAAGACTGGCTGATCTCACTGTTACGGCTCCATTCGTCTCTAACGTACGTGGCGAAGTTTGCCAAGTCAAGCCGAATGTTTTGAATTTTCGCATTGCTGACATCCGAGAGCTAAATGCGTGACACGACCAATTCCAGTTTCGCAATTGATCTTACCGAAGTAGAGATGTCTTGCTGTATACATATACATATACCCGTTCATAGGACAGCAATTACTATTCCACTTGTATTCCATCACCACGTGATACCTACGTAACCTCAAAAAAAGAAAAAAGGTGTATCAAATGAAAATATAATACCACGAGCGATCCTCCTGACGGAACTGAACCCACAATCAGCGTGGTATCAGAAATAATACATCCAGAACGTCAGACTTTCCGACTTGTGGTCCAGGATTAAATGTTTGATGATAGCCGCTCGACGGCAGAGGGTCGTGGCCTACGTCCTATATATACTCTTCCTGAATAAACCATGTTACGAGAGTATATACCCATCGGGGAGTTGTAACTTCTCGAGTTGACTGGTAGCTTAAAAAAGTCCGATGGGTCAACTAAACTGTGGTGGGACAGAGATGCCGAATCCCTTCGATCTCCCTTGGTGTCCTTTGCCGAGACAGGTCCTGGATGAAGTCTCCGGTACAGGGCAGGACCCCGACGTATTCCGAATCGTGGCAAAGAGGGTCAATAGCGAATCCTAAAGAGGAGCAGTAGGTGGGAGACATTACTCGACCCAGGGCCGAAGAAGGTTCCTTTGCGGTGGTCAAGAGCAAAGAATCTTGGACGTGTACATAAAGGACCTGGAAGATGGAGGATCGGGTTGACCGCAGGGGGGGCCAGGAGGGAGTAAGGGGGGTATAGAATCGTGCCGTAGTAAACAACCTTTCGAACAGAAAATACATCCCGGAGATCCATCTCTCTCTCTCTCTCTTACTTACCTTGTCACTCTCTTTATCCTTCTCTTGCTCTTGTACCCCCTTCTTCTTCTTCCTTCCATCCTCCGTCGAGCTAGACGCGGATGTCCACGCGGTCTCGTGCATACTTTGCAGTATTTCATTCAGCGATCCTCAGGCCGCTTCTCAAAGACATCAAAGGCCTCCGGACGTCCGGTCCGTGACTGCCTCGCGAAGAACGTTCCATGTACCTTAACCAGTGGGATCAAGAGTACAGGGAGAGAGAGAGAGAGAGAGAGAGAGAGAGAGTAGAGAGAGTTACTCATGGACTCTCGTATAGGACTGCGGGCTTGTCGGCCGGCAAGTACGACATAAGTCACCTACTAAATTAGTGGGAAAGAGCTGGTGCATAATTCACCGCGGGTTAATTGGCGAGCGTTTTCACGCCAGCCGCGTCTGTCAAAGCGGCTACAGTTTACAACGCAACGACACATCGTCCCGAAGGAACTTTGGACGCTGGCGCATTGCTTCCACGGGCTTCCACGCGTGTATATGTGCACCATATAAAAGCGCAGCTAAGCTACAAGCGCCTAGTGCTTATAAATACGACGTTGAAAAAAACGGCGGCCCTCTTCCCTCTGTTGTGCCGCCGGGCGTCGCGGCGCTGAGGGACGCTGACAGACGCGTCCAACTGCCACCTCGGTTCGTTAGAGCTCCTCCTCTACAGCCTCGCCGATATGACTTATTTAATTGCCCGAACGAACGTTACTGTCTTCTCGTCTTCTCGTCTTCTCGTCTTCCTATACTCTAAGCATAATGGGAGGCCTCGCTGTTTATGTGGTTATGTGGAAATTACAAGGCAGCTTCACACCGATCCGCCTTGATCTTCGGATCGTCGAACGGTTCGCGAGCAGCGCGGACAGCTGTGACGTACCGTTAACTATTTCTCAATCCTCCGACGTTTGACGCTCTATTGAAAGTGGCCTTTATAGAGATACCCTTTTCCGTTGCGCAATCTCGGAGGGCAGTGTGGACGGGACTTGAGGCTCGAGTGCGCTCTGGCAAGTGGCTGACTAAACTCTTCGTGGCTCGTTGGAGATCTGATTAATGTCTTCCTCCTCGATCGAAGAGACTGACTATCCGTACGAATGGGACGTCGCCTGAGCTTCTTTGTAAATTCCGAGGGACTTTTTCTCTCTTGAGAACCCATGGACGCCGTCCACGTGGAAATGCATCCGACGAATTCCAGCGTTATGATTGGTCGTACCGTTGTGTAGCGAAAGAATGAGTGGAAGAGGCCTGGGGGTTTATTTATAGATGAGGTATTAATGAGAGACTCGGCATACCGAAGGGCCACGCGACAAGACGCGAGGTTATTTCGAAGCGTCGCGACGCTCGAAAAGCGTCCTACGACATATTGCTCTTGATCCTATCGCAGATCGGACGATTCTTACGGATTTGTCGGGGAAGTAAATCATCCCTTGGGGCAATGAAGATTCCTACGAACGGGATCTTCGATGTGCTATACTAAGGTATATTTATTCGATCGACTCTTTTTTTT